GATAATAATTTCCCGTCGTCTGTGACTTCTGGCTTCCAAAGCCTGACTCAGCGGCTGCCCAGATCACTCAAAACCAGATGTTTTCTAGCAACTGAAGAACATGTTTCCAAACTAGGGTGGACTGAAGGAAGATTGCAGCGTCATCTGCTTCTGTCTGCGTCTTGCAGAACTCAGGACTAAATGAGCCGACTTGCTCTGTACGTCCGCTGTCTCAGATTTATGCCAAGGGTGAATAATCCACTTCTTGTATGGGAAATGGGGAGGGGGGGACGAAGAGGAGAAGTGTAGGGGGATAAATGTAAAGGCAGATTCATGAAGAAGGGAACTGTCTTGACTGGGACATTAGAAGAGTAGAGTAGAGTAGAGTATAGAGTGGAGTGGAGTGGAATGGAATAGAATAGAATAGAATAGAATAGAATAGAATAGAATAGAATAGAATAGAATAGAATAGAATAATGGAATGGAATGGAATGGAATGGAATAGAATAGAATAGAATAGAAATAAGAATAAGAATAAGAATTAGGAATAGAATAGAATAGAATAAGAATAAGAATTAGGACTAGACTAGACTAGACTAGACTAGACTAGACTAGACTAGACTAGACTAGACTAGACTAGACTAGAATAGAATAGAATAGAATAGAATAGAATAACAGAATTGGAAGGGACCTTGGAGGTCTTCTAGTCCAATCCCTTGCTTAGGCAGGAAACCCTATAATATTTCAGACAAACTGTTGTCCATTCTCTCCTTAAAAACTTCCAGTGTTGGAGCATTCACAGCTTCTGGAGGCAGGTGGTTCTACTGGTTAATTGTTCTGACTGTCAGGAAGTTTCTCCTTAGTTCTAGGTTGCTTCTCTCCTTGGTTAGTTTCTATGCGTTGCTTCTTGTCCTGCCTTCATGTGCTCTGAAAAATAGGATGACTCCCTCTTCTTTTTGGCAGTGACTCAAATGTTGGAAGACTGCTGTCCTGTCACCCCTAGAGCAGGGGTAGGCAACTTTGGCTCTTTTATGACTCATGGACTTCAACTCCCAGAATTCCTGAGTCAGCTATGCCCAGGTTGCCTACCCCTGGAGATACCCAATCCCTGCCACCGTTCTTCATATATTTTACCCTCCAGTCCCCTAATCATCTTTATTGTTCTTCTCTGCACTCATTCTAGAGTCTCAACATCTTTTTTATATCGTGGTGCCCAAAGCTGGATGCAATCTGTCCCTCCTCTTCATCTGTCCCAAGCGGTGGTAGAATGGCAATTGTCATTGTCATTCTACCCTTGTCACCTCATGTCTGGACTACTGCAATGCGCTCTACATGGGGCTACCCTTGAATAGTATTCGGAGACTACAGTTGGTCCAGAATGCAGCCGCACGGGTGATAGTGGGTGCTTCTCGGTACACCCACGTTACACCTATCCTCCGTGAGCTGCACTGGTTGCCTATTGGTCTCCGGGTCCAATTCAAGGTGTTGGTCATTACCTTTAAAGCTCTATATGGCTCAGGGCCAGGCTATTTGCGAGACCGGCTACTACCTCATAGTTCCCTTCGTCCGGTTAGATCCCACAGGCTGGGCCTCCTTCAGGTCCCGTTGGCCAAGCAGTGCCATTTGGCGGGGCCGCGGGGGAGGGCTTTCTCTGTGACGGCGCCCACGACTTGGAACCAGCTCCCCCCAGAGATTAGGACTGCTCCCACCCTGTTGGTTTTCCGCAAGCCGCTTAAGACCTGGCTTTTCCGGCAGGCCTGGGGTTTATAAAACCTGACCCCTGGATGAATGTTATTGTATTGTTTGTTTGTCAAGTTATGTTGTGTTTTTATTGTAAACTGCCCGGAGTCCTGCGGGAGTGGGGCGGTCTATAAATTTTAATAAATAAATAAATAAAATAAATAAATTTAAGATACATCTGAATGATACTTTCTGAACCAATTTCAGCTGGTCTTTTGGTCACACTAAAACTGATTTGGTTGCCAGAGACCCTGTCATCTGCGCGTACCTATACGAGGTGCCAGGGAACACTATCCAGTTCTCTTTGTCCATCACAGTCAGTTGAGTGGGCATGTGCTCCAGGTCCAATCAATTAAAATAATGTCATCTTGCAGGACCCAGGAAGTGGGCCTACTGCCCTCCGAAATGATCTTCCCCCCGATAATTGGGTGGCTTCCGCCCTTATGTCATTCCGAAAACTCAAAAGATGCTTTTTCACGAGGCAACTGGACTTCCTTGTTTTTCTTTGAAGATGTTTCGCTTCCCATCCAAGAAGCTTCTTCAGTTCATTCAAAAAACTGTTGAAGAACTGATTGTTCTCCCAGGCTTGGGGGGAATAGGGTAATCGTGGCACCTTCATTTGCCTCGTTTTGTTTTGATTTGGCCTGTATTGGTTTGGCTTTGGTTCTGGTCAACTATTATTTTATATGATAGACAGAGGGTGGATGGATGGATGGACGGACAGATGGAGATGGAGATGGATAGCAAAGCTTGGTTAGTGTCCTTCGAGAACTTGGCAGCTTCCATTCTCACCCACCATGCTATCTTCATCCTCTAGTGCAGGGGTTCTCAACCTTGGCAACTTTAAGACTTGTGAACTTCAATTCCCAGAATTCCTCAGCCAGCTTTGCTGGCTGAGGAATTCTGGGAGTTGAAGTCCACAAGTCTTAAAGTTGCCAAGGTTGAGAACCCCTGCACTAGTGTAGTGTTTCTTAACCTTGGCAACTTTCAGACCTGCGGACTTCAAGCTGGCTGGGGAATTCTGGGAGTTGAAGTCCACAGGTCTTAAAGTTGCCAAGGTTGGCAAACACGAATTTAGTAGCTAGATCTTAGAGTGGGACTCACTGAACGTCCTCTTTTCCACAAGACAGTGTCCTAATGCAGTGTCCTTTTGGGCACCAGGGACCGGTTCCTTAGAGAAAGGTTTTTCTGAGGACCGGAGGGTGTGTAGTTTTGTATGCTGCCTGCATCCCACAGATGGGGCTTTGCTTGTTTGTGCGGCCCGGTTGCTAGCATCCTGTGGCCCAGTTGGGGTCGGGGATCCATGTTCTAATGATCTTGCTGGATTTACTTTTCAACCACAGCCAAAATGGTTGCTAAGCAAAGCAGCTGAGGTGTGTTTGATTTTAACCACGTTTTCTGCCATGATTGTTAAGGGAAGTATTGCAGTGGTTAAGCTAACCATGTGATTGTCAAGGCAACCTGGGTTACCCCATTGAGTTCCCCCATGGTTGGAAGCTGGCTGGGAAGGCCGCAGATGGCGATCATGTGACCCCAGGACGCTGAAATCATTGTAAATCCATGTCAATTGCCAAGGTCCCAAACTTGGACCATGTGAGTGTGGGGATGCTGTGACATTGTAAAAGGGAGGCCTGGTGGTAAATCACCTTTTTTTTGGTGCCATTGAAACTTTAAACAGTTGCTGAGCAAATGGCGCAGCAGTTAGAGTGCAGTACTGCAGGCCACTTTAGCTGACTGTGTTCAGCAGGTCAGCGGTTCAAATCTCACCGGCTCAAGGCTGACTCAGCCTTCCATCCTTCCGGGGTAGGTATAATGAGGACCCAGATTGTTGGGGGCAATGTAAATATATATATATATATACATTGCTTACTGGTGTACACCGCTTAGAGAGTGCTTGCACTTAAAGCGGTATATAAGTCTCATAAATAAAATAAATAAAAATAAGGAATATCTGTAGCTACAGATTGTGGCTACAGGAAATTGCTGGGAGTGGGTAGTGGAAGAGAGAGAAAGAAAGAGGGGGGGTTCGTCCTTGAAAGAGCAACATGATTAACAGAATAACAGAGTTAGAAGGGATCTTGGAGGTCATCTAGTCCAACCCCCTGCTCAGGGAGGAAACCCTATACTATTTCAGACAAATGGCTGTCCAGTCTCTTCTTAAAAACTTCCAGTGTTGGAGCATTCACAGCTTCTGGAGGCAGGTTGTTCCACTGGTTAATTGTTCTAAATGTCAGGAAGTTTCTCCTTGGTTCTAGGTTGCTTCTTTCTTTGATTAGTTTCCATCTGTTGCTTCTTGTCCTGCCCTCAGGCGCTTTGAAGAATAGCTTGACTCCCTCTTCTTTGGGGCAGCCCCTGAGATATTGGAACACTGCTATCATGTCACCCCCTAGTCCTTCTTTTTGTTCATACTCAATTCATTCAACCGTTCCTCATATGTTTTAGCCTCCAGTCCCCTAATCATCTTTGTTGCTCTTCTTTGAACTCTTCCTAGAGTCTCAACAACTTTTTTTTAATATTGTGGTGACCAAAACTGGATGCAGTATTTCAAGTCTAATCCTCGACTTCTCTTAACCTCATAATGATGAAGAGATCAAATCACACTTCCTTATTTCAATGGAGGGTTACAGGACAATTACAAATTAACGGTCTCTGGATGGTATGGTTGGAAAAGGTTATGACGGTGGCCTCACAGCAGTGCAATTTTTTTTCTTTTTATTATTTTACTTTTGTTCAACTTGTCCTAAGTACAGGTAGTCCTCAACTTATGACCATAACTGAGCCCCAAAGTTTTGTTGCTAAGCGAGACATTTGTTAAGTGAGTTTTGCCCCATTTTACGACCTTTCTCGCCAGAGTTGTTAATTCAATTATTGCTGTTAAAGTTAGTAACATGGTTATGAAGCAAATCTGGCTTCTCCATTCGCCAAGGGGGATCACTTGACCCCAGGATGCTGCAACTGTCATAAGTACAAGCCAGTTGCCAAGTGGCTGAATTTTGATCAGGTGACCCTGGGATGCTGCCGTGATGATAAATGTGAAAAACAGTCACTTTTTTCATTGCTGTTGTAACTTCAAAAAATCACTAAAGGAACAGTGGTAAGTTGAGAACTATCTGTATATTTTTAGTGCACCTTCTGCATTTTATTGTATTACAGATACATTCAACCAGGTGCTGGTTCATAACATTTGCCTGGCCTGAGGGGGAAAAAAAATTAGGATTAAACACCAGGGAAGGGAAGTTATAAAATAAATAGTGTTTTATTTTTACATCGTTTTATAAAACTTTTTTTTTTACATCACCATTCGACTTTTTTTAAAAAAATATTAAATAGCCTTCCTTTTCATTATTAAAATATGGCAAATAAATAACTTCAGATCCTTCTTTTTTTTTCCTGCAAGAAAGATGTCCCTCTAATTCCACTGAGACAATAGAGTGGCCAAAATAATAATAATAATAATAAATAGAGGTAGCGGGTGCGAATTGGACCCACCCATTGACTATCTTTCCAGGAGAAAAAGAATCGAGGAAGGCAGAAGTTTTCCAGCTTTTGTCACACAACTGTAAACGTTTTGTGTTTCTTTTGGAATCAAGCTTCCACAAAGCCTAAGACGAATTGTTTTTTTTTTCCTTTTCGCAATTTTAAAAAAAAAAGCCGCAAGCGACTGTTCTAAAATTACGTAGCGTCCATTAGATGCCAAAAGCTGATCTTAGCCTCTGGTAAAGAAAGGGTTTCTCCCACCACTCACCCGTTTTTCTCAGCAAGATCTTCTCTCCTGCAGAACTTCAGAAGAACCTCAACTGATGAGCAATGGACACAACATCCCCATCTTTGCATTCAACGGCCGTGGCATCAGCATTTCAGTGCAATTCAGTAAGTCCCTATGCAGTCCACACCCCTGTGTGGTGGCGTCACCCCATGGCTCTACGCAAGAGGTGGGCTGCGAGTCAAAAGAGTACCTGGGTACTATAAGTACTCCTGAAATGAGAAGACTTAGCAGTAATAAATAAATTTCAGATCGGGAAACATTCCTCAGGACAGGAGGACAGAGAGGACAGCAAGTTATCCCTCTCATGGTTTTGTTGGATAAAATAAATATCCTCCCTGAGAAACACACATACACAAACACACAGACCCCCTCACAGCTCCTGTACCATCATTCGGCTTAACTCTGGATTCAAGAAGAGAACAGGAGTCTAAGCTTCAGCCGAACAAGAGACACCTTTAAAAGATGGATTTTCCCCTTGAATTAGAAACTCCTAGTTCTGACCCTGGAAATCCTTCAGTTAAGCTGCTCCGTACTCCGACAGCTTAGAGGAGAATCTAGATTTCTGGAGATCTTCGCCCTCTTTCCTGCTCACACTTCCAGGCTGTAGAAGTCCATTCGCTTCCGGCAGCACTTCTGAATCCATACCCAGTAAAGCAGGACCATGAATGTCCAATAGCCCAAGTAGATGGCCAAACCAGCCAGCAAGTACAAGATCTCCGTTTGTTTGGCCTCTGTTGTCCAGTCAGCCAAGGCCTCTTGGTAGATGGTGTAGATCAAGCCGCCCAACAGAAGCAGACCCCAGATGGAAACAGGCAACAGAGGCATGTAGTTGCCCACCATTTTCTTCCTTCCTGAGGTGCCCCAGCTGCTCTTGTTCATGGTCAAGATGGCGAAGTACTTGGCTGGAAGGAGGCCTCCCATGTAGAGGACGGCGTAAAGGGACATGAAGAGCATGACCGGGTTACTCCTCAGCCAGCAAGCGTAAAGGGCCTTCACGCAGGCCACCAGCTGGACGCAGAGCAACACCCACAGCACGTCCCACAGGTTCCCCCCGTAGAAAAGCCGTAGGACAGTGGCTGTGACGAAGAAAGGGAAGATGCCGGAGACCACGGACTCGTAAGTCATCCAGAGGTGATGACGGTGCCACCAGAGGGCATTGTAGAGCCATTCCCGGAAGTAGGACTTGGTCCAACGAGTTTGTTGAGCCAGCCAACGTAGGAACAAGGATGGGGTCTCCGAGTAGCAGCGGGAACGAGCTGTGTATCTGGTGCAAGGGAAGGAGGCAAAGATTAACATAGGAGGAACAAGACACAACTTGATTCGGCTCGATTATGGTCTTGGGTACTTCCTGCTCTGGTCTTTTCCCTACATATGTAGGGAACTAAATATGTTTAGCCTAACGAAGAGAAGGATTGGGGTGACATGACAGCTGTCTTCCAGTATTTGAGGGGCAGTCACAGAGAAGGAAGGTTGACTTACTCTCCTAAGCAACTAAGGACAGGGCAAGAAATAATGGGTGGAAGCTCATTCAAGAGAGATCTAATCTGGAACTAAGGAGAAATTTCCTGACAGTGAGAACAGTCAGTCAGTGGAACAGCTTGCTTCCCAGAGTTTGGGATGCTCCATTGCTGGAGGTTTTCAAGAAAAGATTGAGCATCCCTTTGTTTGGGAAGGTATAGGGTCTTCCGTCTTTGGCACGGGGTTGGGCTGGAAGACCTCCAGGGTCCCTTCCAGTACTATGTTTCTAGATGAAATCTTAGTCCGTGCTGTGGGAACTGAAGGACAACATGGTGAAGTTTGGCACAATAAATTCATCTCATTCCTACAATTCCTTATCTGCAAAGTGGGGAGAACTGTTTTACCTCAAGGGTCCCCAAACTGGCAACTTTAAGACTGGTGGACTTCAATTCCCAGAATTCCCCAGCCAGCTATGCTGGCTGGGGGATTCTGGGAGTTGAAGTCCACCAGTCTTAAAAGTTGCCAAGTGTGGAGGTCCCTGTTCTACCTCATGAGGTTATCGTTATAAGAAAATGAGAGAAAGGCCACGAAAAGATTTTTTTTCCATCAGAATTTGAATGCAACACACTATATTAGGTGGAAAGGGATTGAAAAATCTGTAGTTCAAGTTGTTAATGGAATTGCAGTGTTTCTCTCTGCAAACTGAACAACTCCCTTTTCCTATTAAGTTCATAATAGAGTTTCTTGATTTGGACAAAGCCTCTTACATAAAAGCAGACATTTAAGTTCATTAACAGAAATTGATCATATTGTATGTAACTTAGCAATATAGTCTGGGCATACCCAAAAGTATTGTGTGGGTGTTAAGTGCACAGCAGAAGCTTAAAGTAATTAAAGCTTGAACCAATTTGATTTCCTAAAAATAACACTTATTTAAAAGGAATAATGTTTGGGCAAAGATTTATTAAATCAGCTCAGTACCAAACACTGGAAAAAAAAATAAGAAGAATTTAACTTGTAGCTTGATACCAGAGTACCTACAAGTGCTGCTACCAGTGTCAGTTAAAAAGACAAAGCTTCAACAAAAACCACAACATTCCTTAATGTTCGTTAATAACTCCCAAAGACCTGTCTCTGTGTTTAACAATAACCTTATAAGTCAGCATTTCTCAACTGGGCAAGTTTAAGAGGGCCATGCTGAGTGAGGAATTCTGGGAGTTGAAGTCCAGTCCAGGTTGAAAAAAGGCTGCTGTATGTCAAGGGCTTCACAAATGAAGTGAAGTGTTGAAATGGGAAGTCCTGCTTGCAAAAAATAAATTAGCATCCTAAAAAAACTACCTTAACCAACTTCTCACATTCCATTCCATATTGTTCCTATTCCACTCAGATTTCCTTACTTGGTGGCGTAGCCAATGCTCAACATCCTGTTGGTGAGGTGTCTATCATCCCCAAAGGTGCAGTGTGTACCGAGGAACTTCTGATTGTACCAGGACTCCAGAAACTGCTGTAGGAGGTCATTCCGATATAGACCTGATGCAACCAATAAAAAAGAAGGGATAAGATTTTTTTTTAAAAAAATGCAGTGGATCAGGGAAATACATTAAAAAAAAGCAGTGGATCAGGGAAATTAATCTTTCCAATAGCACTTCATGACTTCCTTAGAGAAAGGACTTAGACCAGTGGTTCTCAACCTGTGGGTCGGGACCCCATTTGGGGTCGAACGACCATTTCACGGGGGTCACCAAACAAGGCTGTCCGCCATTTTTTCCCCCCTTTTCTTTGGCCACGTCCCTGGCACCCGGTGATGTATAAGTGGTTGGGGTGCACCACAACATGGGGAACTGTATTATGGGGTCGTGGCATTAGAAAGGTTGAGAACCATTGACTTAGACATTGTTTATGGTGGAAACCTTACCTAAGGGACCACTGATGCAGGAGACGCAGTTGAAATAGGACTGGCAGGCCCGCTCGATGTTGAAAGCCATCCAGTAGCGCAGGCTGCTCATGAAGCTGATGTAGGAATCGGACAGGTTGAGGATCCTCACATCTCCACCAACCGCCCCATAGCTTTCGTTTGACTCCAGCACCTTCACCAGTTCTACCGTTGCTTCCGGTTCCAACTTGGTGTCGGAGTCACATACCTGGGAGAAGCCAAGAGTTTAGTCTAAAGACACCCCTTCAACTTGTCAAGAAGATCTGCATTGCTGGAACCTAGATCCTGGCTCCAGAAGAATTCTACAGTTGACCTCTTCTTTCCAAGGACCGGCTGAGATTGCACAGTCCTTGCGGGAGAGATGCAGCATCAACTGATAATTTGCCACAGATTTTGCAACTTCCTTTGGTTGCCATATAAAGCATGGTGTACATACATGTACAAGCCAGCCCAAAGGCCACAGTAAGATCAGAGGAACACATAGATTGTACTGGTCCATGAGAAGAATCTTGGGAGTCAGGAGGAAAAACTACAGTCTAGACTATGGGTAGGCAACCTTGGCTCTTTTATGACTCGTGGACTTCAACTCCCAGAATTCCTGAGCCAGCATAGCATAGCTGGCTCAGGAATTCTGGGAGTTGAAGTCCACGAGTCATAAAAGAGCCAAGGCTGCCTACCCCTGGCCTAGACAGTAGTAGTTCTTTGGAAACTAAACGATGGGTTTCCACAGGACGTCAAAGCCATGTGTACTAATACAATAACTTTTATTGTAAAGTTAGATATAGAATCTTGCCAGTCTAAAAGCACTTTCCCTTCCCCTGTCTTTACTTTCCATGGAGTTAGTCCCTTCTGAGATCTTTTCTCCAACCCCATTTTTGCTTTGGACTCAGATGTCTTTTATCAGACCATTATCTAGGCCAGGGGTCTCCAAACGTGGCAGCTTTAAAGACTTGGGGACTTCAACTCCCAGAATTCCTCAGCCAGTCATGTTGCCTGGGAAATTCTGGTAGTTAAAGTTTGAAGACCCCCTGGTCCGAGTGGTGGTTCTTCCTTCTGTCTCCCAAGTTTATTGTCACAGCCATTGCATCACAATTTTCAGCAACTGCGATGCAATGGAAGTGCACAGTCTAGTAAACAACCAAATGCAACCTATTTCATTTATAACCATCACTGACTGAAAAGATAAGAGTTTACTTCCTCAGTTGCCCCATCAGTAGAATGGGGATGAAAGAGATCTAACCTTGGAATTGCTGCATACGCAAAAGAGGAAATGCATGATTTGTTTTCCAGAAAATCAAGATTACGGGATTAAAGATAAAGGGGCTGAAGAGATAAAAGGAAAAGACACCTTATGGAAAGTAATTCAGGAAGCTTTATTTAGAGATCAGTCAAGGTCAGCGAGATTGCCCCACTAGAATTTGTAGGGAGCATTTTAGCTTCCAACTGTATGGTTGGATGTGATGGCAAATGTGGGCTGCCAGAACATACATAATTACCACACTAGAATCTGAAACCCTAGACCAGGGGTGGGGAAGCTGGGCTCTTTTATGACTTGTGGACTTCAGCTCCCAGAATTTCTGAGCCAGCCATGCTGAGGAAAACGGGAGAGGTTTCCATGCTGAGCCATGCTGGCTCAGGAATTCTGGGAGTTGAAGTCCACAAGTCATAAAAGAGCCCAGGTTCCCCACCCCTGCCCTGGACATTGTAATTAATGAGATGACAAAAATCCTAGCCCAACAACAGCAGATGAAAGATACTCAAGTTTGAAGACCACTAAACACCTGGGTGCTTAATTGCTTGGATGAAGAATAATGGCTAGACCAGAGCCACTTCCCTCAACCACGTACCTTCCAGATGTGCCAAACTATAAATCCCAACACGCCCAGTCATGATCAGATGCCAGGGTAAATTTGCCAGGACATCTGGAAGAGACTAGTTAAAAGAATGTTGGGGTAAGATGTTGATCTGGAGTTCAAATCTCTCCTTAGGTCTGAAGGCCACTGCATGTTCTGTCAACCTTCCAGAAAGGATAAAAATGAAGGGGAATAGACCGTGTGATAGCCCAAGCGCCTCAAATGGAAGATGAGATAAATAACATAGTATTATAAAAGAATAATAATAAAAAAACAGTTGGTACCTGAACATAGTCCACTGAATTCCCAAGGGCCTTGAAAGCTGTGTACATGACTTCTCGTTTCCCACCCCATTTTTGCATGATGCAGACACAACGCTTGGTGCGGATCAATTCTTCCACCACAAGTTGCCCAGGGTCTTCCATATCAATCTCAGTGTAGTCAGAGGGCTCATCCCCAGTCTGGTAACCACTGTCCCTTTTCTCCATATCCAACTGAGGTTGATGGTGGTAGTTGTTCTCCCAAATAAAAGTGCCCACATCTTCTCCAGCAAAGACATCTTGGAACATATCCATCATGTATCGGTCCTCACTGCTGTTCCCATCTACTACCATGATGATCCGGAGTTTATCTGGGGGATACAGGGTTGCCTTGACAGATTGAAGGCACTCGCGGAGGTAGGCTGGGTCCTCCTGGTAAGCGGAGATGGTGAGGGCCACAGTCTTGGTATAGCTGCAGGAGAGTGAGTCTCTCCGCATCCTCTTGTGCTCCAGGAAAGCAAAGAAGCTTTGGATGATGAGGTGGAAGGTGAGGAAGGCTCCGTAGAGACCAAAGGCCATGATGTGGTACTGGTCAGAGACCAGCTGGATGCCCGTAATGTAGGCCCAGGCCAGAATTGATAATATGAGCAAGGCAAAGCCAATGGTGAGGATCCGACGTCCGGTCGAGACAAAAAATTTGGTGGCTTTGGAAACATCCATCCCTAGAAGAAGAAGAAAAAAAAATAGGGAAGTGAGTAATCTCAGTTTTTATGATACAAATTTAGTACTTTAGGAACAGACACAAGGTGCCATGTCACAAGGACACCGAAAATGCAGAATATGATCCTCAACTTAGATTTCAGTAAATTCCTTACAGACGGATACAGCAACATTTTGCTGTGTCGGAGTTAAATTTAACTACAGATTGGATCACCTCCATAGTAAGTCATCAAGCATATCTCACAAACACGCATGGCCAATTTCATAAACCATGATGCTAAAATATAGTTTAGTTCAACCTTTGCTGGCTGAGGAATGCTGGGAGTTGAAGTCCACAAGTCTTAAAGTTGCCAAGGTTAAGGTCCCCTGATTTAGTTGGTTCATATGTGTAAACTCCCATCCATAAATGATATGATTGTACATGAGACCATCCTAGCCTCTTTCAACCATGATTAGAAGAAGCTCTGACTTTGCATGTGTACAAAACCCTTCGTGACTGAACTGGCTATTTAAAAGATTGTAGAATAAGGTCAACTGAAGCTCGACCATCCAACTACTAAGTGACTTGCAATTATTCTTCCTGTTGACCCACAAGGAGAGGGGGCCATTGGGATTTTTCATTAGGAAAAAGAGTTGAGATGCTCCCCTCCCAGCCTGGGTGGGTACCTCCTTTCCAGGCTGCGCCCACCTCAAACATCACTAAGCTAATTTCCTGGCACGGTCTCAGAACAAAGTTGTTAAAAATATGTTTATAGAGCCAAGAAAGGGGCGTTTCTTCAAATCAGAGCCATTGGCAGCAATGGTTCACTGAATAAATAAATGACAAAGTATGGAGATGGCATGCATTATTACCACTTGTACATACACGTATGTGCTCTTTCTTACTTAACCCTACTTAAGAGAGTATTAAAATCTTTTCCTGAGGTTCACCATTAAGGGCACAATCATATTTTATAGCGGAGGGCCAGCCTCACAATTAGGATAAAGCTGTTTCCTTGGGCAGCACCTATGTGAATACCAAAGATGAAAAAACAAACCAAACGTGGTTAAATAGTTTAACACAGTTTACCTTTTTTGCAGAGATGACGGGTGGATTTTCTGCTTTCTGGTGGAAAAAATCTACTTTGGTAGTCTTGGGCAGGAGTAGGCAACCTTGGCTCTTTTATGACTCGTGGACTTCAACTCCCAGAATTCCTGAGTCAACATGGGAGAACTATGGCCCCCTCATGACTTATGACAACTCCCAGAATTCCTGAGCCACCCATGCTGAGGGGAAAGGGAGAGGTTTTCAAGCTGAGCCATGTTGGCTCAGGAATTCTGGGAGTTGAAGTCCACCAGTCATAAAAGAGCCAAGGTTGCCTACCCCTGGTCTTGGGTAACAGACAAAATGACTTTAGAAACAAGTGCCCAGGTAGTCCTCAACTTATGACGACAATGGAGCCCAGAATTTCCATCGCTAAGCAAGACAGTTATTGAGCTTTGCCCTGTTTTGCGATTTTTGTCCCCCGCTGTTGTTAAGTGAATCACTGCAGTTGTTAAGTTACTGACACGGTTGTTAAGTGAATCTGGCTCCCCCCCCCCGTTGACTTTGTTTGTCAGAAGGTCGCAAAGGGGGAATACGTAACCCTCGGGGACACTGCCACCCATCTTAAATATGAACCAGTTGCCAAGTGGCTGAATTTTGATCATGTGACCATGGTGAGGCTGTGAGGGTCGTAAGTGTGAAAAATGGCCATAAGTCACTTTTTTCAGAGCCGTTGTAACTCCGAGTGGTCACTAAATGAATGGTCGTAAGTCAAGGACCACCTGTAAGAAAAAGGTTGTGAACTGGCCTTGAACATGGCGGTAATCCTATGCTAGGTGAGGAAACAGATCATTTTTGGAAGACCACCGATTAGGTAGTCAGAAGTCTCCAAAATCAGTGTTTCTCAACCTTGACAATTTTAAGGCATGTGGACTTCAACTCCCAGAATTCCACAGCCAGCATTGTTGGCTGTGGAATTCTGGGAGTTGAAGTCCACATGCCTTAAAATTGTCAAGGTTGAGAAACACTGCTCCAAATGATGTCAATCAGCCTGGGCAATCAAAAGACTAAGATTCATCCCTCAGGACTCTTATCTTGTGGGATTTTCCTCTGAGCAGGGCAGGAATCACCCTGAGACCAAAACCTCGAGGTCCCGGAAGAGCTTTATTTTACTTAATTTATTTGTATCCTGCCTTTATTATTTCTTATAAATCACTCCAGAGAGCGAACATAATCCATCACACACCGTCCTCCTCCTTTTTCCCCCCACAACAGCCATCCGGTGAGGTGAGTTGGGTTGAGAGAGGATGATTGGCCCAAGGTCACCCAGCCAGCTTTCATAGCTAAGGCTGGATTAGAACTCACCGTCTCCTGGTGACTGGTCTAGTCATCCAATCAGCCTTCATGCTTAATGCGGAACTAGAACTCACCATCTCTGGTGACTGGCCCAAAGTCACCCAGCCTGCTTTCATGACTAAGGCGGGACTAGAATTCACCGTCTCCTGGTGATTAGCCCAAAGTCCCCCTGTCAGCTTTCACGCCTAAGATGGGACTAGAACTCACAGCCTCCCACTTTAGAGCCTGGTGCTTAACCACTAGAGCAGTGGTCCTCAACCTTATTAATGCCGCGACCCCCAACCGGTTGTAAGTCGAGGACTACTCAACCAGTCGTATGTCGAGGACTACTCAACTGGTGCAGCACCATTTGCAGAATGGGACTTTTGGCGGGCTCAGCAGGGCAGAGACAGCCTGGACAATTCCTATTGTCTTTTGAAAGCCAATAGAATTAGACTCTATTCAAGAGAGTCTATTCTATTGGCTTTCAAAAGCCAATAGAATAAAAGGGAGTAGCACAGCTAAGGAAAAGGGGGGAAAAATGGCGGACTGCGTTGTTTGGCGACCCCCGTGAAATGGTCGTTCGACCCCAAATGGGGTCCCGACCCACAGGTTGAGAACCACTGCACTAGAGTAAACTGGCTCCAACCCTAGTTCTAACCCTTGGTGAGGTTCTTAAAGGCAAAGTTCCTCTCTTGTTTCGCTCTCTGACCCAAGTCTCAACTTCTCCTATTGCCAAGCCACCACGTGCAATTACAACATCATTACGGGATTGGTGATAAGTACACATGACCAACTGTGCACCAATGCATGTGTTTGGACAGTCACGTGAACAAACATACTGGGAGGAGACGAAAGAGCAGACTTTGTGTTGTTATGGGAGAATTCCATAGCAACATGCCTTGGGTAGCATGGTTGCTAAGTCAGGCAAAATTGCAAACTCTGAGCCAAGAGGAACAACAATTTACATTGTCCCAGCCATAGTCTCTCACCCTCCCACTTGCAAGATAAGAGATCATCTAAGAGGCTTTCAAGATTGTTGACTTATTAGCTAGGTGAGCTTGTAGCCCAGGCTAAGGGCTACCATTTTCACCTCTCCAAAAAGCTGCTGTTCGTGACTCCCCCTACTGCAATGTTTTAAGAAGAGCCAGTTTGGTAGAGTGGTTAAAGGCACAGAACTAGAAGCTGGGAGACGGTGAGTTCTAGTTTCTTAGACACAAAGCCAGCTGAGTGACTTTGGGCCAGTCACTTCCTCTCAGCCCTAGGAAGGAGGTGATGGCAAACCACTTCTGAAAAATTGTGGGCAAGAAAACCACAGGCATTTTGTTCAGGTAGTTTCCAGGAATCAACATCAACTTGAGGCTTTATGTCAACACAGAACCTCCCCCCCCCATTAGTCACGTGCAGCTTTTAGGACACCTGGGTGAAATATATGACCTGCAGATCACCAGCGATCAAGCAGATGGAGAGGGATTGCACACTTAGTCTCCATCCCAAATATAAGCCATCCTCTAAGTCAAGGGTAGGCAACCTTGGCTCGTTTATGACTCGTGGACTTCAATTCCCAGAATTCCTGAGCCAGCTATGAGTTGAAGACCACGAGTCACAAAAGAGCCAAGGTTGCCTACCCCTGCTCTAAGTGTTTCCCAACCCTGGCCACTTGAAGAAGTGTGGACTTCAACTCCCAGAATTGAGGAACACTACTCTAAATTAATAGCATATCGATTTAGTAGAAACTGGACAAGAAGGATAGCAAAGCTGCAGCTCCTGAGACACAGGTGAACTTCAGCTTCTACCTGTCCCTGCCAGCAGGGCTAAGGAAAAGACAAGCCAGGTCTTTCAGTTTAGAAAGATTAAAAGGTAAAATAATAACATATTAAACTTGTATGCCACCCAACTCTGAATGACTCGGAGGGGCTCACAGCAATCAAACAAAGAAATGACTATGAGATCAATAAAAATAAGCAATAAAGATAAAAGACGGGAAACGTGATGAATCAAGGGACTGGCTCCCCCTTGTCAAAGGCCTGGATGAAGAACTATTAAAATAAAATCAGTTTTCCCATCTGAAGTCTAGGAAAGGGGGCTCTCTGGAATGGTTTTGCAGCCCATTTGAGAACTGATCTTCAAGCTTCATTCCCAATGCTGACTCAAAAATAATATCCAAACCGAAGCCATGGCAGCCTATATAAAATTCAAGATTGGGACCCTGATAAGAACAAGCAAAGCAATTTTAGACCAAGTCGGATTCTTTGCTCATTTAATCAATCTTTGCCAACCCTGGTCAGAAGTGGGAGTCTCTGGTTTCGGTGAGGCCACCTTGTCCAGGGAAAGACACGCTGCCTGTCCCCTTTTCTGCACCAACCAAGAGTTTTGATTCTTCTCCCCAGATTGGAGATAGCGGCTTGCAAGAATAACTTTTTGGCTCCGGGTCCCCTGGGTCTGCTAGAAACCTTTGCATGAGTGATCACATCCACCCACCTATTCTTTTCCTGGAGATTAATGAATCCCGACTCGCAGTTCCAAGACACACAGTTTTTGCTCAGCACACCCATCCAGCAACAACTTTCCCTGTACTGAAGGATGGACAGCCTACATTAAAAGCAACAACGACTTGGAAAAGGAATCTTGGCTGAATAACCTTCTCCGAGCACCCCTACGCCTCTCTAGGCAGGGTTTTAGATGCGGACGCTTCACGTTTCCAACTTTTCCTTAATATTATATTTTATAAAGAGGTGCGATTCAGGGTTTTGTTTTTGTTTTTTGGCCTTCGTTGGCTAAGACGTCCGCTTCCAAAACCACCTTCCAGTTCCTGAAACGTGCAGGACCGGAACCAGGTTGGAGCGCTGGGAGAAAGCGCACTCTGCATACGCTCAGGGGCGCAGTCATCCTCTAGCTAGGCAGCCCCTGAAAGCAGACCCCTCCCCCTCCCCCGGGCGCAAACTCGGACCGTCGCCAAAGCCAGGGGCTTGCAACACCGCGCAGCATTCCCCCCCCCGGCCATTGTTGCAAGGGTGTGCGGCCGGAGGAATTCCACCCGGCTACCGTGGAGCGACGGAATCCCCGGTCCTCTCCGGTGCGCCTCCAGCTCGGCCTCCCCCTCTCCAGACCCCGCGGGCCCGGCCGCCCGCCCGTCCCCGCGGTCAGTTCTTACCTGCGGCGTCCGGGCGTGCGAAGAGCAGCCCGCGCAGGACCCGAACTGGCTGGCCGAGAAAGCGGGGCTTAGTTGCGCGCCTGGCGGGGGAAGCTTTTGAATCGGGAGGGGCGGCCTCTTCCCTGCGTCAGGGCTGGGCTGGGCTGCCTTGGATGTCCTGCCCCATTCCTGGGCTCCGTGCTTAAGTCCGACGTCTTGGGTGGGTGGGTGGGTAGGTGGGTGGGGGCCCCCTAATCCCTCGGCCGGCCGGCCGGCCAGCCGCCCTCCCTCCCGGGGAACACGCCTCTGACTCATTCGGGTGGGCGGTTTCCCCGCGATCAGCACCGTTCCCGTCCCATCTCCCAGCCCGGTCCTGCCTGCGAACGTGTGAAAAGGGAAAGGACGCGCCGGGGTTTGATCGACGGGCTTGGAGTTAAACCAAAAACAAAACAAAAAAGCCTCCGGCGAGGGGACACCTCGAGGCTGGTCACTTGGTGGACGTGTCTGTGGAGACCTCAGGCCCTGGCTGGCCGGGTCGATGTTCCCAAGGTTTGGCTGCTGTTGGGGTGGGGGTGGGGGTGGGCAAAATCTCCTGGTGGCCTCCTATCTCTAAACCCGTACAAGCTCCAGACCTTCTCCTCCTATTGAGTTTAGCTGAGAAACTGTGTGTGTGTGTATGTGTGTGTGTGTGTGTGTGTGTGTGTTTCCTTTAGAAAGAAAAGATTCCAATTACCTTTCCTGAACTTCGCACGTGCTCAGGAAACACTGGGATGGATGGATGGATGAAGAGGTGGGCTAGGGCTGGGGTGTGGCAGTTTTAGTCAGTGCTTTTGGGATCGATGTGGCCCCGGTGCACATCACACAAAATTGTGTCCACACAATTGGCCAGGTTTATATGATAGGGTAAACCAGGGCTCTCCGAACTTGGCAACTTGAAAACTTGTGGACTTCAAATCCCAGATTTCCTTAGCATGGCTGGCTAAGGAATTCTGGGAGCTGAAGTCCACAAGCGACTCCCCTGGGATAAACCCTAAGTTGCGGTTTATGAATGTTAATGGTTCAGCCACAAGCCAGCCAAAAAACAAGGCAGTTGGGTGCCTTGTCTGAAACCACCATTTAGGTCCCCGGGCAGGCATGTCTCACAGGGTTGTGTTGGGACAAAATTTGCATGGTGTGAGAAGCTTTCCATGAGAAAAGTGGGATATAAATCCAATAAATATGGAAGGATGGCCTTTCCCCCACCCTTGTAGCATCTTGCTAGCTGTGCTGAATCAGAAATATTAAACTCAGTTTAATTGTGGCTGAGGGTATCTTGCTGCAGTGAAGTTCCTGCCTGCCTCCCAAGTGAAAAAAAAAAAAAAACCGTTTGTGTGCTCACATTTGCTGGAATTCCAGGAAAGGAGGGGGGGGGAAAGGAAAGGGTGAAGACTGGGATGTTGCAATCAGGACATGCTTTAGACAAGAATTTGAGCTGGGGAAATCCAAGCCTGGGATAAGGCTACAAGATAGAGGGGGGAGGGGGAGATGGGGAAGAAAGGAAGTAGATTGGGGGTATCTGAAGTGCCAGGCCACCAATGAATGGAAGAGAGGAGTGATAATCCAATCCAAGGAAGGAGATAGCAGGACCCTTAGGAGGAGGCCAATAACAAAACAGCAAAGAGGAATCAAGCAAGCCTAGAACTGGAGAGGCCCGCTTAGATCCTCAAACCTGGGTTTTGCTGCACAGAAGTCCACATTGCTAGATTTCCAGCTTCTGCTTTAACCCATCAGTGAAGGGGGAGAGGGGGTTCCCTTGGAGAACTGATCTTAGGATGTTCTTCCCGGCATTCAACCAGGATTTGGCTTCCTGTTCCTTTAAGATCTTCTGTTGGGGAAGAGGGAGAACAGGTGCGACCTTCTTCCTGCAGTATAAAGTGGATCTGCCTCTTTAGGAGCAGCTTAGCTCTGTATTCCAGGAGGTGGCCAACCCCTTGGCCACTTGAATACCAGTGGACTTCAACTCCTAGAATTCCCCAGCCAGGGGAATTCTGGGAGTTGAAGTCCACCGGTCTTCAAGTTGCCAAGGTTAGACACTCTTGCTCTATTCCACTTCCTATAAAAACAATTGGGACTCTTAACTATATTTCAGAAGCATAACGCCCAGAGTTCAGTTAGGCTAACTGCCAAGACAGAGATTGTAGCTTGAGCATCCTTGATTGGCCTGTTGTATCATTGTTAGCATTACTTTGATTGACTGTTTGTATATAGATTTCTCTAAGGTTGGGAAGAGAAGAATCATCCATGAACAGAGACATCCCAAAGATGCTTTTTCAGGAGGCAACTGGACTTTCTTGTTTTCATTTGAAGACGTTTCCTTCTTATCCAAGATGCTTCTTCAGCTCTGAACTGAAGAAGCGTCTTGGATGAGAAGCGAAACGTCTTCAAAGAAAAACAAGAACGTCCAGTTGACTCCTGAAAAAGCATCTTTGGGATAACTATGACCCGGATGACTGATCATTTTCAGATATGAACACAGACCTTGGGGTAAGTTTTATATAATTCACTTAAACCTGTCCTGTGATACTCTACACATCAAAACTGTGTTACCGTCCCAGGGTTGTGTTCAAATGTTACAGCCAAACCGGAAGAAGTGGTTAACACATAACTGCAAACTACATGTTGACCTGCCCGTTCTTTCTAATGAAGGGGATGTGAACAGAATCAGTTGGACTGATGCTTAGATAGACACACATCATATTGACTGTGATTAGACTGGACACTTACCCCACTTGGTCAAGATTTATCAGAGTTGAATTCAAAAACAAATTTTTGCCAAAACAGAACAAGCTCGGAGATGTTTGCGGTTGGCAGACTGTAGCTGGTCTGCAAAATTTTAAAGGACCACTAGAGGGAGGCAGAGAGACACAGAAACAGTCACTCTTTGCTGCCCCCTCCCTATTCTCTGTGATTCTGCATCCAGATCTGGAGGGCCTTCTCTGAAGTTACCTCTGTCCAGTTTGGTTCCTGTTTTACGTGCAAAAAGTACCATAAATATATTCTGGCATCTTCCAAGTTAAGACTAAAAAAAAAAAAAAAAAACCCAAACAAACCTCTGTCTGAAACGTTGGCAAGCTGTGGCCCGTCAGTGACCACAATAATGAGAGAGCAAGGCCAGTGATCTCATTCCAAATACAGACTTTTCTTGTGAAATGTTACCTGCCATTATGGGATCTAAAGACAAAAGAGAGACTGTTTTGTCCCACCAGAAGGTATGTGGCTTTAGGGGGGATTAGTTAGTCAGTTCAGACTCAGACCATTAATTGAGTCTGTTTTCAATTGAGTAATGGGGGTGGGGGGGGAATGGCTAGGTCTTATTTAATTATTTGTTTGTTTGTCATATTGCTGATGCACCAAACAGCCTGGATTCATGCAGGAATAACATTCTCTGGGACATTTAAAAAGTGACTTAGAAACATCAAATGTTCATATATGTATTATTCCCATACCTGCTAGATATATAATCTGTATACCCATCCCTTTGCAAGAAGGATTTGGTTTTATTTACACACATAGACACACCCATTAAACTTATCCAAGTATAAAATGTAAGTGAAAATAAAGATAGTGAGAAAGTGGGGACGGGAGAAAAGTAGAAAAGAGAATAATAGAATAATAGAGATGAAAGGGGCCTTGGAGGTCATCTAGTCCAACCCCCTGCTCAAGCAGGAGACCCTATATCAGTGATGGTGAACCTTTTAGAGACCGAGTGCCCAAATCGCAACCCAAAACCCACTTATGTATCGTCCGGTGCTGGGTGGGCGTGGCCCATTGGGTGGGTGTGGCTACGGTGGTAACGGCAGACTGGGTGGGACTAAAAAGTTCAATCAATCAATTCCAACTTTGCGAGATCTCCCCCCCCTAGAATTAAGTGTAACAAAGGGGGGAAAAGGCATAAACTTCCAACTTTTAAATGCAGTAGAATAAAGGTAATAATTCTGCAGTCACAACCTTTTCCTTTTGCATACTTAGTAAATGCTAGCCTTTTTTGTAACAATAAACTTATGTCATCAACAAAGCCAGAAGCTTTATGGTTTTTTTTTTTTCTGTCTCATGCACAAAACCTAAGGGTGGTTTCAAAGTAGAAATCCAAGAAGGATTTTGGACTGTCTATGAGCTCAACTCCTCCCTTCTGTGTAAAGTTGCTAGCTTTCGCCCCTTTTTTAGGCTTCTATGTGAATTAAAAGCTACCACTTGAAGTTCATCTGAATGGACTCTTAAAGCAGCCACATCTTTTTTCATTCTCAGTTGAAAACCTGGGGGGAAAAAGAGTCAAGGAATGATGTAATGCAGGGGTCTCCAACCTTGGCAACTTTTAGACTTGTGGACTTCCACTCCCAGAATTCCCCAGCCGGCTGGGTGTTTCTGGGAATTGAAATCCACATATCTTAAAAGTTGTCAAGTTTGGTGACTCCTGCTTTAATGAAGAGCAGAGAAGCGCTGTGTTCATGAGAAATCTGAAACCCTTTCAAATTATTTGCCAAGGGTGTCATTTTATTCTGGTACAGAAAATCTATCGGAAAAGAGCACACATAGGTTTAATTTCTTGCCCTGCGTAATTTTTTTTTTTTTTTTGCTTCCAGTTAAACAGGCAACCAAGATAGATTAGCACTGATCGTTACGAGAAATGATGCCTTCCCCGTTTTTTCATACACTTTCAGGCAGAAACAGTAGCTATCATTTTGCCACCAGAGATGCTAATACGATTACAAAAATCTTCCCAGTATATAATCTCAGCAAGGGGCCATATATTATTTTCAAATGATTTTTATAGTCAGTGTTTGATGACTCAGTATGATTTTCAAAGGAATTTTATACCGCAAATTGTTCCTATTTGAGTCATTGCATTCAAATTAAAAAAAAAAAAGCTTTTCAAGTGAATTGGAAGGGTGGGGTTTTCCTACCATAGGCCTGTGTGGGGCTTATACTAGATTGGCCTCGTGGGGGACACTGGAGAGGAATCAAAACCAGAGCAGCTAGTTCTGCTTTATTGTAAATGATTATTGACAGACTCTTGCAAGTCTGAAAGTACAATTCTCCCTCCCAAGCCCTCCCTTAATAGGGAGGGTCTC